TGAGGAGGCAATAAACAACTGGAACGCTCCTTCGAAGACATCGGTTCTAATGAAGAAAATGAAGGGGTGCTTCTCTGCTCACGCGAAAGCTTCTCGTCGACCGACAATCTCTTGGCTGTTTCTGTGCAGTGGCGTCACATCAAGGAACATCAGGGAAACTACGGACGCGAAAGAGGACGGGATGCTGATGCATTCAGTACGCATCCAGAGCGCCAACAAAGTGCACCCGAGGCGTCGCACGCTCACACGTCAAGGCTCAGGAAAGTACATGTGATCTGGGTAAGTGGTACGATCTGTACTCTAACAGCGTAAGGCCTGCACGGCTCTCTTATTGCCAGAAAGGAAGATGGAGAAAAAGCAGGATACTACTGGATATCCTGCACCCCCTTTATTTGTGCCGATCGCTAACACGATGGTACACGCACCAGCGCAAAATGAAACGCGAAGAAGGAGTTGAAAAACAGGCAAAACGATTTGATGACAACTGCACTACTAAGAGCGCCACGCCGACTACATGACACTAGCTGTGGTGTTACACGCACTCCTCATCTCTCCCAAGGTATTTGCAGACAAGAGATTGTTGAGGACCCAAAACCTCGATACCGCGGTACAAGCAGAAACAGAGCGCTACAAAAACGTGCGTCCTCTTGAAACCGAAAGACCACCACCAACCAACAACAAAATCTAAAATAGCCACAAACTTTCTGAGTTGGCCATCAGCAACGATTACGACCGCAAAGAACAAGGACATGTTTCTCATATTTTCAACGCCTCCGGTGTACCTTTCTTAGGCTACACATATGTGGAGAATGTTTCTTCGGCAAGACTGGAAACCACGGAGGTGAGATAGGGTGCAGGCAGAGGCGTCGCAACGAGCCTCATCTTCGAGTCAGCACGACGACGATCACAACGGCATCAACCCAGCCAAAAATCCCTCCGAATGGGAGACCACCAACAATGACTACCACGGGAGCGAACACTGCCATACTGCTGTCAACGCCTCCAGTGTACCTTGTAGACCGGCAATGACGGAGGTGAGGTAGGGTACACACAGGCGTCGCAACGACCCCCGTCTCAACTCAACACGACGACATCAACCTCAACCTAGGTACTGGTTACTCACGCCTGTTCATCGGTGGTCCGGTTGCACTTGTTGTAGCTCCACGGCCACGTGAAGTCGGAGGACGCTGTATACGTGGCCCTCGCCAGGTTGCCCATTAGCCACATCGCCGGCCACAAGCCCCCGACGTCCGGCCGCCCGGGCAAGATGGCCCTGATCTCCACGATCCCCCCCGTGAAGCAAAACTTGTCCCACGACTACCGAGTCGGCACGGGCGAGGACACCCACGACGATAACGATAACGATAACGATGGCGATGACGGCGATAGAGGCCAGAGAATAAGAGGTGCGCAACAACCGTATTTGTTGGCCTCGAATCAACCTTCAAGCCGGTCTCTGTCTCTCTCTCAGTATCTTCACACACCGATACCGGTCCAACTAACGTGGACGGCTTGACCTCGGGAAAACGAAAAAAACGCCAAAATGACTGCTTGGAAAAACAGGGCAAGAGAAAGTAGACGGATAGCCCTAAAAAAGTGGCTTCCGTGTGTTCTACGTCGAAATCAACAAATGCAAGGAAATCTCGAGGAGAAAAACACCTCATGCTTGGATCGCACGATGGTGGCATGCACCGGGAGGGGGGGCAGCTGATAGGTGCAGCATAGTGGATATGTACATTTATCACAGCCGTCATGCTTCATTCGTCAAACCCTGTGAGCGGTACAATACTTATCCATGATCCAACGTCCTTTTCTGCACCTGCATCATTCCGCTGACGTAGGTCTTGGCCATGCTCTTGTATTTCTTGTGGGGGGTGTCGTAGTACTGGAACTCCACATCGGTATTGTTGGTCGTGATCACCAACGCTCCGTCCCGGGTTTCGCACTGGCCAGGCCAAACGGCACAGCGTAAAATCAAACACTTGCATGGTAGACACCTTGAGCCTTGTTGCATGCACGCGGGAAAGCCATCGACGGCGTGCCGTCAACAAGCGCTACTGTCGGTACCTACGTCATGTTTTTGTGTTGCTGTGCTTGGCCAATTGGTTCTCCACAGCCGCTCAAGGCGGTTTTGTGTCTCACACAGACACACTTCCACCGTCGTTATCGATGAAAATTGTTTCTCTTGTTGCTGATATAGCCGAGAATAAGGACACATTTCTACTATCGACCAACACTGCTGCTGCCGTTCGTTGTCGCGTCTATCTTCTCGGATGACGGTTACTCGAGAAGACAGCGCTCTCTCCGACTTCGCGAGGCTCTCTTCCAACGCGCCTCGTCTGTCGGGTGGGTACACACCGGGGTGAAAAAGAACCTACTTCTTAGGGCGCTACCCTTCACTACAAACAGAACGGGCCCGTAGAAAGAAAGGCCGAAACCGGCTCGAGATATTCAGTTTCTTACTTCATCGCCATTGCTGTCGAGCATAGGCTGTTGAATAGGGATAAGCCTAGGATCCACCGCTGAGCCATGTTTCATGAGCCTGTTTAAATATTTTTCGTGAAAAATTGAGCCTCTGTTTCTCAACGAAATACTTCAATTTCTAAACTGCGGGCCAGTTCTGTAAGCCTTTACAGGTAGCAGATCATTGAATAACACGCACCCCTGTTCTCGGAAACGGAGAGCAGGATTCATTCCTGCCTCTGGTGGGCGAGAAAAAAAATATATGGCCAACGCTTACCACAAAAAAATCATTCGACACCAACGACGAGTGGAAAGATTCCTCCGACTCTAGACCAGTAAAAGACACGCAGGTTGCACACGCGTGGCACCTACAGCAGTGTAACACGCGCCAGCTTTCTTTCCACGGGAAACATACGAAGGCTCCTTCTTGACGTCTCACCATATCGTGGCTGTAGAACTGGAGCGCGGCGTTGGTGTAGTCGTTTTTGTTCATGGCCATCCATCTAGGATCGCGCCCGTCGTTGAAAGTCCTTCCGTCTCTGCATTGGCGTACACGGCAGGCGATCAACCAGTCAAAAGACGAGGGTACGAGACGGAGTAAGAACACGCCGCACTCCCCGCATGATATTGGTCCCAAGGGGAAGGACGACCGATGCATACCAGCCCATATGAAACCGGCCCAATGAAATCATTGGCAAGAGACTACGTGTCCCGGGTATCAAGCAAGAGATTCTGGCGTACTCTTTTGTATGCATTAGTAGTCATGTCGGTATAGAACAATACCAGGGCCAACGCTAGGGAGTGGAGGTTGGGCTTCCACATGTAGATATATGTAGCGCGAATCAAGGCAGTGTCGAACGACACCAAAGCGGCAAATATGCATACCGTAGACGACACAAGATAACACACCCACACAAGAAACCATACCCCCCACAGGATACGACACCCCGGTGATAATTTTGGGCGCCTCTGACATACCATCGACTAATCACCGGGGCTACATAAGATAACACACTTGAGGTTACGCCGCATACATTCACGGGGCCCCTCCTTCTATCACCATGGCGCCATGGCAATACAGCATCTGCCCCGTGGGCATGCGGGCATCGCACACACACACAACATCTGCGTAGCTCTCTTTTGGTCGTACCCAATAGCAAGGTATACAGCAGCTACTTTTTGTGTGAGGGGGCAGGACGGTCGGCGCACTCTGTGGCCACTGAGGTCATTTGCTCAGGAGTTTTGTCTCCTCCGCTGAGCTCCTTTATTTTTACAACATTCCGCAGAACCACAAGTCATGAAGTGTTTGTACAGGCATTGCTATCACACCCCCCCGCAATACCACACCCCTTCAAGTGTGCGGCAGCAGCGGTTCAACTCTACAAGCAGTGTTATTACACCCCAATTTTTTTCACACCCCCTCATTATTACCCCCCCAAGCACACCCTGTGGGTATTCGGACGTGCTATCACACACCCTTTTTACCAAACCCTCATTTATCACCCCCCCAAAACACCCTGTGCGTGTTCGGACGTGCAATCACACACCCTGCGTTACCACACCCCTTTAGGGGCCCGCGATCAATGGTCTAACGACTACGGCATGCACGACTATGAGTACCCCCCCCCCCCCCCCCCCTTAAGGGCCCGTGGGAACTGCACTTTATCACCCTGGATACATAAAAAACCACCCCCCCCCAGGAAACCCCACCTGGGGAAAAAATTTTAACCCCTTTGGGTCTAGGCTGGACTGTCAAAATTTTTTGTTTGCGCCAAAAAAAAAAAAATGAAAACGAAAACCAACGGGAAAAAAAAAAATGCAAAAAAATGCACCAGTGTACTTCTGCCCACCCAACAACTATCTCCCCCTGTAGGCCATGAAAAAAACCGGCGACAGGGTGGTGGCCCCAAACAGGGTCCTAAAAGGGTTGAAAGGTGGTCCCGCTGCGGTCAATAAGGCAGGTTAACTGTGTAAACTTCCAAATGATCAGTCCTCTAACTGCCTCAACTAATCTATTTTCGGTAT